CATTTTTATTATATATATTTTTACGTAATTACGTATAATGAAAAATACCAAGGTGGGAGGGTTTACCCCCCCCCCCCCCCGAGTGTATCCTACTAAAAATGGTAGTGTGGAATCCCCTTAATAAATTTAGGTAGGTACATTTAAATAATAGATTGCCAGTAATGACAGAGAGTCTAGTTTTTCTTGTGTTAAAAAAGAGCTCATTCAACTATGCAAGTTTTTATATTTTAAGTAAATGGAAATGAACGTTCACTATTACAATTCGTGCATGGCATTGACAAGACTTTTTTTTCGTTTTATGCACATGCGTAAATCAGGGCCTGTTGCGTTCTCTTAAAATATCATTACTACCTATTAGTTGAGCCTGAGAAGACTAAAATAATTATATTAATTATATGTTTATAACTATTTTTCTACTAAGTAAGGTATTGTGTTTATGTATATTACTTTGAATAGGTATATCTTTTTATTTTAACAATGAAGTCACGAGTTCATGACATTGTTTTAATATAAACGTATATGTATTCAGTAAATTAGTATTTGCACCGATGAAATACCTTTATCATTGGTTATAAATTATGATAAACTCTCGATAATGTCTTACAGTAAATAATAATCAACCAGTATAAAAATGTTATATATAGGTAGTAGGTACCTCTAATTAATAACATTTAAATATATTATAATATATTTTTAAACCATTTTGAGCTGATAACAGACGACAGTGTACATAGGTTTAACTAATAGGTTAGGTATCATTTATATTATATTTGTATTAGAAATTATCAAGTTTAAAATTAGATCTAGTTGGTTTAGTTGGATGTTAAAAGTAAATAATTCTCAGCACCTACTTTCGAAATTAACGAAAAAATAACCGGGGAAGTTGAGTGTTGGCGTTGAGTGTTCCTAAATTGAGCAAGGTCATTGTAATAGATGTTTTAAATTTTAATTCAACGGTAAATCATTGCACACGAAAAACGATTCTAAGCCGAGATGTTTGGAAGGCCTTTCAACAATATAATCATTTACTCAATCAATAGTGAACTAATGGTTCCATGTATGATTTAGTGGTCTATTACATTTTAGTAAACCATTAAATTAACACGTTTTTTATGCAACTCGGCATACCTACGTGTGTTTTATTATATATTTATATTATTAATTGGTAATTTATTACCACTATTAGTAATGCTTTAGGTTGAATTAACTATTAAGTAGGTATTGCCGAAAATATTATATTTATTATTATAATACTATTGATTATTAAAATAGTACCTATATATATTTTATTTATATATAGGTATTATTGTTATTAGCTTTTTATTCAATACTGGCTTAATATGGAATGGTGTGAATATAGTCTGCAGTGCCGCAAAAATAGGGTAAGCAAGGTATGCATTCCCTGGCCAGATTTTATTTTTAAATGGGGCCCATCGACAAAAGAAAAAAATTAAATATAAGTTATTATTCGAAAAAAGAAAATATACCTTTTATAATAGCAATCTATTATTTTAGGAAGTTATTATTATTTTGATATTATTTGAAAAACAAAATTTCAAACAATTCAATAATTCACATTTTTTATTATTGAAAATGATCTTTCGTCCCTTTATAGTGGAATTATGTAGTTAAAATTTGTTTATATATTTAAGTCTCCCAATACCATCATTACGACCGAAAGCTTATTTTCCAAGTTAAAACTGTTGTAAAACTTTCTTCAGAATTCAATGTCACAAGAGAGATTAACTGGCATAGGTACTATTAACATTGATAAATCAACTACAAATGAACTTGATCTTGAAAATTTGATAAATGACTGCAAATATGAAGTCTAGAAAGAAAAACTTTTTAAAATAAAATCATTGTATACCTACCTAATATTTGTTGATAGTTGATATTTTGTTATTTAAATTTTAATGTAATATATTGTGTTAAAATCGAGAAAAATGAACATACCAATTACATTTTGTATAATAAATTAATTGCTTTTTAATTTTCTTGACTACTTATAACTGATGTATTGTTGAAGATCTGTTTAGAAATATGATGAACATAAGGCTAATACCCGCCTTTGTTGTCTCTGTCTTACAAGTACGTAACATAGCAAATTGTGCGCTCAGCAGAACACGTGTAACTTCGTTAGTTTATAAATTAGAGCAAATTAACCTCTCATAAAATCCAAAGGTGAGAATATATTATCGCGAGTTATGAGTATTTTAAAATTAATTGTAAATTAATACATCTTAAAATACTCACTTTAAAACTAAAATATATTAAAATGGCCATGTGGTTGCCTAGATAATCTTACCTTTAGATTTTATAAGAGGTCAATTAGCTCTAATTTTTAAATTAACGGAGCTACATAATATGTTCTGCTGAGCGTAAAATTCGCTATGTCACGCACTTGCAAGACTGAGACAACACATGCGTGTATCACGTCCTCTTAATATAACCGCAACATTACTATAATGCTTGAAAAAATGTTAATATTTGGGGGCCATAAATATTGCCTTGCATTATAGGTCTACCAAAAGTTAATTGTAGCACTTACTTTTTTTCGTTATATTGGAGTATAAGTAGATATACTAGGCTATAGGGGGCGAGGGGCCCCATAAAATGTTTCGCATCAGGGCCCCACAAAACCTAGTTGTGGCATAAATAGGCAATATCTAATTATTAATTTAAATATTTTGAAAATGTCACTGTGTATAGAAAAATATAATTATATACGTAAAAGTACCAAGTTTCCATTAATAATATTTTTAAACCACAACAATTGGATATTCTTATTTTTTTAAAAAACTAAACTTCAAATATTTATAAAAAAAATAGTGAATTTATAGTTTCTTTTTTTTGGTTTCACTAAAAAATACTTGCGAGGAACATTGTATTAAATATCAATAATGTATTATGTTTACATGAATCTACAAAAAAAACTAAAAAAATTGATTTTGGTTTTTTGTTGTTTTTCATTTGACATTTAACTGTATAATACGGACTTGAAATATTCTCTACATATTTATTAGACATACCGAACACATCATTTAAGTAATTTTTGTTGTATACAATTTATAGATATATTTCAAGTTAAACGTATATGTTGTGGAATGTGTCTACTGTCTAAATATTGGAAAAATTTTGGATTTAAGACTTCAAAAGTTAAACAATAATTAAATACTTCAGAAGTGGTGGGGCAACGGGAGGGCTTTGGGACTAAGTGCTTGTATTACAATCGTTAAACTAAGCTTAAACCACCGAATTCGGCCGGTAAAATCAGTGGGTTTAATGTAACCAAGGTTTAAACTATGATTGTAAAAGGAGCCCTAAGCCCCCCCAAATATAAAATTAGCCCCCCCTACATCATATTTATTATAGGTACCTAAGCATATTTTATTAATTTATTTATATAAATAATAAAGTTTATGAGAATAATAGTTCCGGTGCTTCGGCCCCTTCAATTAAGCTTATTAATCTCCGCTAATGATTTACTTACAATATTCATTATTGATAATCACTAATGACGAGTAATCAGTTAACACATTGTGCTTCCTCGAGTATTTTGTTCGTTCGTTATAATATTTTACATAAAATACTGACAGTACCTAGGCAATATTAAAATATTTTTAATAACTGACTATAGTGACTATTGTACTTGTAATTATTATGATATTATGATTCTTATATTTTAGCCTAAATTAAAGGTTTAACATTTTAAGTATAGTTATTGAAATGTACGTTGTATTTAAGTTGTATTTAAATGATAAGTTATATTTAACTTAGTTTATATGGAATATGGATCGAAATTCGAAAGTACGGATTAACACGGATTGAAAAAACTCTTAAAATACCAGCGACTGCTGCAATAATATTAAAAATTGATATGTATTATTATAAGGCATTAAGACTTGTCAATATAATATATCCGTCAGCATATTCAATCAATCCTAAGCCTAACTATATTATAAATATAGATCACGTAATTATTCAATACCTACGTATAATTTAAAAAAAATTTTATCAAAAATAAAGTTACGTAGTATTATGTAAGTACAATGAAGAGTTGTGTAATAATTTAAAAATATATATATATATATTATAATATAATATTATGTACATAATATTTTAAAATAATATACAATAATTTGTTGATCACGTTATTACTATTATTATTAGTACCGGTTTGTCGTGCGCTTATGTGTACGGCGTACGCCACTCGCGATGGTAATAATAATCATATTATAATACTAATCATTATCTACCATTGACTCATACACGATTCCGAGGATACTAGGAAAAAAAATATATTATCGCTGACTATGCTTGCGTGGTTAGCGGCGGCGGCGGTTACCCGTATCTAAAAAAAATATATATATTGTGCGTATCTGCGGCACAAGACGACAAACGATCGCGAATCGTGTCGTCGTGACGTAAATCCGTTTGCCGGTGAGTCACGCGGCGGCGGCTGTCCGGATTTACTGGGCGCGTCATCGGCGGCGGACCAAGTGGTTTTGCGGGTACCGTTGAAACTTGAAATAGTGGGTAGTGGTGGTAGCGGATAGTGGCCGTCGAGCGTACGCAAAGTTCCATTCACCAGTACCGCCACCACCAATACGTACCACTACTACTGTGCCCTCCACACCCGTCCATGGACCGCCGCCGTCGCGCAAGCCCGCTTTACGGTTTTCCCACTCCTTCCGAAGTATCTCGTATTGTTTGCACCCGTTACCCACTGCGCCACAACAATATACTACGCGAGACGTTTTTTAGTCATTCAGTGTACTCTTGAAGTCCCGACTCGTCAGTCGATTGCCGTAGCATCCGTCTTCCGCGTCGACACTACACCGGTGTGAAATCGTATCGCGGTCTCCGTCCGTTCGATTCCGCGCAGTTTTTGGATTTTCCCGCCTAATACATCGGCGCGCACTCCTATTAACCGTACCGTTTACTGAATCAATCGATAAAACCGTACAAGAATTTTGCTGATCCATTTTTAAAATATTATGCTTCTACCCGCACAAATGGTACCTTCGTCCGATATCTACAACGATTTGAGCGAGTCCGTTTGCCGCGATTGTTTGGACCCTGTTGGAGCGTGCACTTGTAGCTGGCAAATCATGCAGTTAGACGCCAGCTACAGCATTTACACCACGTTAAACGATGACATGACCAAACGACCGTCCTCCACAACGTCTTCGTTCCTTAACGACATGCATAAGGTTGATATTATTATATAATATTATAATATGATATGTGTTTTAAATATTTTAATCAGTTGGGTATATTACTGTAAAAGCGGACCACGCGTAGGTTAAACGAGGCCTGATTCGGGAATAGTGGGCTACGGTAGTCCCGCGGGTGAGCCCATAAAGCTTAATAGAGTTTAATTTATCGCGGGCGTTTAATATTTGAGGGCACAGTGATATAGTATATATGAATATTTTTTTTGTTAAAGTAAAACATATAAGTATAATTATTTAACAATGCCATTTTCTATCCCACTCTCCCTAGGCTTTGTTAATTTATAGTAAACATAAAATATATTAATAGGTGTAAATAAATAATAATAATAATGGGTAGGTATTACTGAATACCCATAGTAAATTTGTTTATTGTGATTCGTGACTAATACCTTGTAAATAGGTAAAACATTTTTCTCGGAAATTATAAACGATTTTGATAGGTATATATTTTACTTTAAATTATTAGTTAACAGAATATATAGATACTAAACTTTTTTGGAATTAAAAAAAAAAAGTGAAATTTGTCTTTATCAAAATACCACGCAGTTAAAAAAAAATTATCTATACATTTTATTAATATAATATAGTTGTAAAAGCAAAAAATAACTGGACACTCGGTATCATTAACTATTCTGCCTATCTGAATTATTTATTCTGGTTAAATGGCTGATGTGTATAAAAAGTTGAAATACACATTATCAAGTATAGTGTTTTAATTGTAGCACAATATAAATGCACAATTTTAATCTTATCAGAACAGGTGGGTACTCCACGATGGCACGATATAATTTTATTATGGAAATTACCAATTTTTTCATTTTTTAACAAAATTAAAGTATCGATAGGTACTCTAAATTAATCTTCAAATTTTACAGTTTGAAATTTTAATGATGGTAAAATAAAGAATTATTTAATAAAAAAAAAACCGCAATAATACCTATAAAATCTAAAATTGTAAAAACTACACAACAATGTAATATTGTCATATTATCCCCTTACATAAACAATAAATATAATAGGCTTAAAACTTCTTAACTTGAGATCTTAAATTGTTGAGTGTTTGTATAATAATAAAATTTAAATTACTTATAATTTAATATTTAAATATATGTAAACACTTGTAATTAAATTTGTACTATTTTCATAAATGAAAATATTTTTTTTTGTCTTTAGTTGGATGGTCTCAATTGTGGAGGTATACCTACACGTACAACACCAACTTTAACACCAACTACACTTCGTACCATAGCTGCCGACATAGCTAATTTGTCACCTGCTCCATCTGAAAATTTTGCAACTGCAGCTTCCGACCTGCATCACCTTGTGTCGTCTTCGTGTTCCACCATGAGCACATCAACTTTAGAGGCTTCTGATCGTACTGATTTACAAGAACGTGTCAATATACATAATCTAAGTAATCAAACAATAAGTCTTCAAAGCATAAATAATCAACAAATTAGTCTCAATAATTTACAAAACCACCAAAATGTAAACCAAAACACTTTAAACCAACAGCAGCGTAATGATTATAATAATTCTTTTTCGACGGCTGCATCGAGGCAGGCTGGTTTTGTGCCACCACTAGTATTGCAAATCAATTCCACAAACCCTATTGCTCAACAATCATCAGGTATATGATCCTACAAAATTGTTATATTTATACTTGTTAAATATTACATTTATTAGTTTACTAATACATTTTTCTTTACATAGGTACAACAATCTTATTAAACAACAACACCAGTACAGGTTCAAGCTCTATATTTAGTGCAAAAGGTTCATCTACTTCAACATCATCTTCACACTGGCAAGGAGTAGTAGTTACCCAAAGACCTCAAAAAAGAGCACGAAGTATAACGACTCGACAGTACACTGATGATGAAGATGGTGATGATGATTATGATTCTGCAGCTGATGATGGAACAGACAGTAGCGATACAACTTCTAGTAAAATGACACGCAAACAAAATAATAAAAACAACAAATCAAAAAATGGAAATAAAAATGAATTCAAGAATAGTTCAGGTGGTGGTCGTCGAACTAATAATAAAGACAACAAAATGGTAAGTTAAAATCTCCTTTATATAATTTTTAAATTATGTAGTTTATATTATTTCTTTATTTACAATACCAGGTATAGTTTAATAAATCTTCTATAGCTTCATTTACATTTAGTATACATAGGATTATTTATTTATTCTCAATATTTTTAGATGTCAGCTGAAGAAGAACAACGTAGACAGGTCCGAAGAGAACGTAATAAGTTGGCGGCAGCTCGTTGTCGTAAACGCAGGATGGACCATACAAATGAACTTTTAGAGGTAAATTGCAAAATATTAAGTTTTTAATAGAACATCACTTGTTTATTTTTATCTTAAATAAATATGGCAGCAGTATGGGTTTTAGGTTTATGTTAAAACTTAAATCATTATGAGTTAGTTTAGTTAATTTTCAATTTTTTTTTTTTTTTTTAAAGTGATAAATTGGAAATATATTTGAAATTGTTTAAACATATTAATTTTTATATTGATAAACAAGAAAAATATATAGTTTTGTTATGTCTTATAGGTATTTAGTATTTAGGTAACAGAATACATTTTAATAGTAATTATTCTGTAAATGTTTACATTCCTAGAATATTTCTATTTATATAAAATTGTCGTAATATTGTATTATTAACCCTTTATTAAATTTGTCATATTATATATTTGTTTAGGAAACTGGGCAGTTAGAAGATAAGAGGTTGAGGTTACAAGTGGAAATCCAAGGCCTTCGTCAACAAAAATCTGACCTACAACAGATGTTGGCTCAACATAAATGTGCTGTAAATATGAACAATTTGCAGTTATCAAATTCCGTTGCTACTGTAAACCATGCCACTACAATATTAGATTCAAATGAAATTTCTGAAACAAAACCTATTGTATTAAATAATCATCTATCATCAATTAAGGGAAGTCCTTTACAACAAAACATTAGTACAAACGTAGTGATCAATGATAATGATAGTAATAATGTTGATGATATTATAATAAAGCATGAAGATAATTTACAAACCGATATTGATACCAAGGATTCCATAAATATTATTCCTACTTCTGTAATGCAACAGCCTCATAGAAGACGACCCACTACACTATTGCAACTTAACAATGGTAATTTTGGTAATAGTAAAAAAATATCTGGAAATGGCTCTACGGGTGTAGTAGTATTGAATTTTGATTCGCTCATGGACGGTGGAACAGGATTAACACCTGTATCATCTAGTGGTGGAAGTGTACAAAATCATCATCAACAAGTTCAACATAGTAGCACAGGGAATGGTGGTGTAAATACTGAAAATAACAGTGTTTTATCATAAACAAAGTCACCATTAGCCAATTTAATTAGTCAACTAGAATTAGTCAGTCAACTAAGTATCACCAGAGTTGGGCAAAGCAATAATTTTGAAAAAAAGGCAATCTTTCAACTAAGGTATGGTTTAAGGGTGTTTTTTTAATGAAATAAAGTCATGATCATAATTTATCTAGTCAAATATATTTATTATAGCCATGATAATTTATAAACTATATAAAAAATAATTATTATTTATGTTTCTGTTAAAATAAGCATTTATTAAGCATTGGAACTACCATAATTTGAATACTGAAAAATCTAAAATATGAGATCTATTTTTTTCTTTATTCTGATTGAAAATTCTTGATAACTTAAACTCTATTTTTATTTTCATCAGATTTTTAGTTGTGCATGTTAAATTAATGATGAATATTATTCAAATGTAACACTAGCTCAAGTGAATCTTGATTTTGTTGTCAATTAATATGCTCTTATTCCTTTTTATATAAATCAAAATTTAAAAATTCATTATACCTATATTAACTGAGTAAGACATATTCTATAAATAATAGTTATGACATTTTATAATCACATCTACCCAACTCTGAGTACTAGTTTTTATTTTTATTTGATAAGAGTTAATTTAATTTATATTATAAATAATTTATAGTGTATATTTATTTGGTACATTTATTTATTTTAGAAAATCAAGTTTTATTTCATTTTATATGTTATGTAAATCTGTATATTAAAATATTTTCAAGTTAATTTAAAGCATGTCCAAAGAGGGAAACTTCAAAAGTAAATTAGTTGTATTTTTTAATAATACCATTGTGAAATATTTTGTCTTTATAATTTAATTTTATGTTCTTTCTAACGCAATTTTTTTATAATTTAGACATACTTGTTATATAATATACAATTCGAACATTAGATATATTTTTATTTAATAGTAAATGTATTATCTTTAATTATTAGACCTTACGTATACTAAAGTGTATTTTAGTTGAAAAAATATGAGTGTAATGTAACATTGAAGATACACTTCAGAATAATTAACATTTACAAAAACAAAGTGATATTTTTCAATTCATCATTTTGAATTATCATAGTTGATTTTAATACTCTACTTAAATATAATATTGTATACAATTAAAATGTTACATTGATCCCATAAATCAGTTGTACATTTTAAACTTTTTTTTTTAATATTCATTTATTGTAAAAGATATGTATTTAACAAATTAAAAATATTGTAAAACAATATAAAAACAATGATTTTCCTTTCACTGGTGTGTTTAAATGTATTGAAAATTAGTAAAATTCTACATAAATGGTTATAATTTTAATTTATATGTTCTACTATGTATAAGTAATTTGTTTTAAGATATGGACTACATAGTGGGTCTTCTAAAAGTGCCCTACCCACAGGACAACAACAAACTAAACATGATATAGGTTAACAAATAGGCACAATTACTTGAATTTGTTAGAACCATTGTATGATTTGAGTAGTAGGTGGAGCACTTGAGAACAGATCTCAAAAGCTAACATAACAAAGCTATACCTTTTTTATAACCAAACACTAAAACATCACAAAGCGCTAACTTTTCATAATTAAACACAGAAACATCACAGAATCAATTAAATACAAAATAATCACAAATTAAATTTTACACAAAATCATAAAATAAATTTAACACAAAACGTTCAAAAAGCGTTACTTTTTCATAATTTATCACAAAACATCAGTAAATATCAGTAACATAAAAAGATCAAAAAATTGATTAGCTTTTTAAAAAAAATAAAAATTATAATAAATTAATAAGTCTCTGAGCTTAAGTCAATAGCAAAAAGAGGCCAAACTTAAGGGATATAATAACCTTAAAAAAATTGATCTGATATCAAAAATTAGGAAAGGTCATACAATCGTAATTTAAATATTTCTGATATTAAATCCTTAGCAAAAAGTTATGATATAAAAAAATATTACAATTTTAATCCCAGTAGTATCAAAAACAAAGAAAATTGGAATTTGTTTACACAAGACACAAATTTTTAACAAAATTGATTTTGATTGTTTAGAGTAACTAAAAAAAATAACTTGATACGTGGTATTTTTTTAAACTATAACTTATTATTATTGGACAGTTGGGTCGTTTTCTATAAAAATTTAAATTGATTTAACCATAATTTGAATTCAATAAGGTCAGATTTCATAATATTATGAGGCCCTTATCAATGGCTTGACTCTTGGTTTTGAATTTGTAATATCGTAATTATAAATATTTGTAAGTAATTAATTTTCATTGTTTTTATTCACTTTGCATGTTTCTATTTTAATTGTTCTGTGTTTAGTGTTATTATAAGTTTTAATTATTTTAGGTAATTCTTCAAACCATGATTTATTTTTTAGTTTATCACCCAAATATATATTTCTATAATCGACGCTTTTTCATTTGTATGTGTTTGTATATGTTTGTTATACTATACAATATACAATATGTTAATATTATATTTGATTAACATTTTTTCTTAATCCTTATTATAAAATTCTTTATCAGCATGTAAGTTTTTTGGTAGGTTTTTTGTGAAACATTATACGTTCTTCATAATTATTTTATACTTCAAAACCCTTCTTAGATTTTAAAGGTATTCCCTATTTATATATTTATTATCTACAATTATGAGAATTTATTTATTACCTTCATTAGCTTTTAATAATAATTTATGATTATCTTTAACTGATATTTTGTTTACTTTTAAGATTATTTCGAAGTTTGAAACTAGGATCATTTGTGTTTGTTTTGGTCGATTGAAACAATATAAATCCGCTTTGCCAAGTATCGTTAATTCCTGTTTGTACAAAATGACTTGTTTCATAATTTTTTTCTAGCTGGTTTAAATAATTCATTAATTTCTATAATTTCTGGAGATTTAGAAATATTATCTTTATTTGTATTAGGTACATTGTTTACACAACCTTCTATAGTGTTTAATTTGTTTAATACATTTAGGAATACCTGTACTCCTTGTTTGAACTTTACATTCTTTGCAATAATCCATTTATCTTTATAATAATAATATATACTAGCTGACCCCGTGCACTTCGTTGCTCCTAAAAAAATACAACCCTTTAAAAAATTGTGATTGTTCAAATTCTTTTAGATGTAACTCTCAGAAGTAAGTACAATACTGCCTCTCTGGTAGGCAATTCGACTACGGTGGATCGCGGACCATGTGCGACAGCATATCAATGAGATATGTATATCTAATATATAAAAATGTCGTGTCACAGTGTTTGTCATTGAAATCCTCCGAAACAGCTTGACCGAAACTAAATAATGTTCCAATTATTATTTATGTTTATTATAAATTACAATACCATATATAATTTTTTTGAATCCATTGTACTTTTATTAAATTAATTAATAACTAATACATTTCAAATTACATATCTATCATACATTATGAAAATTAAAAAAACACTATCAGTATATCTTGGTGCAATGGAGTGTACGATATTTTTAGTGAGTCCATCTTTAGCCAACACAAACAAACTGCAGGATGGTCCGATGATTTACCATACTGAGAACATGCCAATTGAAAAACACGGAGTACCTAAATCTAAGCCACAAGCCCACAAACAGACATCGTATGGCCTTGAGACTTATTGATTGCGAATGCCAATCTAATTAGAAATTGAACCAGTTTGAATTCAATTGGGACATCTGTGATGGTAATAATAGAGATTCGTAGTAGTAATATAAATTATGGTAACGATAACATATTTCATCAATTTTTCAGTGTTGCAGGGTAAATTACTTTTTAAAAGTAATGAAATTACATTATTTAAATTACATTTGCGTTACCTAAAATTTATTTATCAAGTTAAATTACCTACTCTTTCATTAATAAAGTAGGTAGTGCATTACAAATAACATTACTTTTAGATTCTGAGTGGAACGATGAACGTATTAATTTTACAATGATGTGTGTTTTTTTATTTTTTTTGTCTGTCATCACCTTTAAGGACAGTAAAAGTGCTTGGATTTTCTTCAACAGTATCTTGTCTGATAGAAAAGTGAATCTAGTTGGTACTTTGGGGGGGGGGGTCGAAAGTAAAAATTTCAAAGTAGTTTTCAAAAGCACCATGAAAAACAAAAGAAAAATTAAGGAAAAACGGGAATTTTTACGCTAAATCGATTATGGTTTTTGTTGTTACTCTAAAACAAATGACCGTAGATACATGACATTTTTACTGACTGTTTAAATTAGAATTTTCTATACACCATGCCTTTTTTAAAATATTTTGAGCTGTTTAGGGACATTTTCAGTTTCCAATTTTTTTAGTTTTTGATTCTATAAATATCAATAAAATGTTATTGGTTGGTTAAAAAAGCTTGAAAATTTAATAGAGGGCTTTTAGTATATTGTTTCAGAGGCAGATGAAAAATATTAAAAATCCTTAGTCACGGTTTCTTTTTTATAAGCATTAAAAGTCCATAAATTGACAAAATATGGAAAAATCACGAAAATTAGCAAATTATTTTGAGTTAAGAATTCGAAAAAATTTTTCTTTTTAAATCTAAGATTTTAAAATGTAATACAAGATTCCTTATAAGATTATCTAAGTAAACAAATGAACGTATATACATGAAAATTTCACTGGTTGCTTATATTTCCATTTTCTATACATGATAAAATTTTCCAAATATTTTGAGTTATTTTGAGCTCTTTACTGACATTTTTATTTATTTTTTCTATAAATATGAATAAAATTTTATTTGTTGGGTATAAAAGCTTAAAAATTTAATAGAAGTCTCCTAATATGTTGTTTCAAAGACAGATGAAAAATATTAAAAATCCTTAGTCAGAGTTTTTTGTTATGAGCATTTAAAGTTCAAATATTGACAAAATACGTAAAAATGACAAAAATTTTGCAAATTGTTTCGAGTTAGAAATTCATAAAAAATTTTCTTTTTAAATCTCAGATATGAAAATGTAATACAAGATTCATCATAA